AGCCCATAATCGCATCCACATCGCAAAGTTGGGCATAAGTAGCACGTGGCCGCTCAACCATCCACCTCTCTTGGTCTAACCTTTTTTTTCTGGTTCCTCGTAAATGACGGTTTCCATCCAGTCTTGGGGATGTCGGTGGCCGGGGTCGAAGAACAAGGAGCCGACGTCGCCACTGCACAACGCCTCAATCATAACATCTCGAGGACAAACCTTCCTACCGTGTCCGGTGAAGTTGATTCACCGACACCCTCGAGCCAAGCTCTCGTTAGACCTGCAACCCAAATTGACTTTTGGTTTGGGGCAACAACTCTTCGAGGCAGTACCAAACAAAACTCAAGGGCAAAAGTAAACGACTGACTGACCATGTGCAAACCCACTTAATCACGTCCTTTCAGGCGACTGTGCTGGTTGGTCCCTGCAGCACACACACACACACACATACACACATACACACACACACATCTTAGGCTTATGTGTGTGTCTATACTCATCCTTTAGCCGTGGTTGTTCACATCATTGCGATTTAGCAACTTCAGGCCTCCGGTGCGAGTCCCATTTGCCCAAGCAAAAGGAAACCCATGGAGCCCGTCGCCTCCTCGCGTAAATCAGGTACAGAATGATGTTAATGGCGAGAACTAAGCTTGGCACAAGTTGCCCGACCAAAGAAACGACTCGAGGGCCAAGTAAACGTCGACCCAACAGAAACCCCAACTTTGGACGATCGACCGAGATGGTGTGACTCAGCAAAGCCATACCCATTTTTGTACAGGCTACTACGACGACATGGTTTTATGGCTGCCACACGAGTTCCCCTTCAACATGCAACCAAATGCGCACCATGAATGGGACACAAATGACGCTCGCGAGGACGACAAAGAAGAAGCACGACAATCGAGGTGAACGATAGCAACCGGCACAAAATCCCACCAAGTGTAAATCACACTTCTTCTTCGCGGATAAGATCTTCGAGCAGACCTGATTGATTCCGGACACGTCGTCGGGCCGGGAGTCCACGGAAGGAGGCAATGAGGCGCCGGCCGACGGAAGGTTGGTCCTGAGAATCCGGTTGACCGAAGAGATGGAGGGTAGTGTCTCTTGTGAACAGATGCCGTCCGTCAAGAGGCGCTGACGTATCTCCCAAGCGAACATGTGCGGATGCTCCGCTTTGTATTGGCGAACACTGAGCACGACGAACTCGGTGCTCACCTTCGGCTTGGAGCCACCGATTGCTCCGGCCCGAATGTCTCCGGTGCGTCGGTACCTGTAGATTATATGAGAAAAAGCACAACTTTATTGCATCTCTAAAAGACAAAAGTGACTGACAATATCCACATGAATATATATAAATATATATATATATGTAGAGAAAGAGAGAGAGAGAGAAGGCTCGAGGCCCACTTGACGAGACATATTCCCTCATTTCGGGTGAAACCGGTCTCAACTTTCGCCCATCATTGCAGCTGTAAAAGTCTCAAGTTCATGTACACTAAATCAAGAATGTGAAAAGAAACCAAAACTTCGAAGAATCGCTCATTGCATGAAAGGAACTGAAGTGAAATGTCAGAAATCTTGGTTTATTTTCATATATATATATATGTGTGTGTGTGTGTATATGTAGGTATAATTAAATTAATCGAAGGTATGAAGACCAAGATGGTGTGGTCTTTTGTGCGATGGCAGTCTCATTTTGTTGCATACAAGTTGTTTGAACTTGTTTTCGCAACTTGGTCATGTTGGTAGGAAGACTTCGAGGAACTCACCAAGTTCGGAGTCCATTGTATGCATGATCATTTGCAAAGTCGGACCGTTGATTTGGTTCATTTCCAGACGTTTCGCCAGCATCGTCGGTGAGAGATCAAAGTGACTAGTGAAGCATATCCTCTGAAACGGATGGCGCCTCTCACTGAGGATGCCGGCGAAAGGTATGGAAATGTACCAAATCAACGGCCGGATGTTTCTAAATGTTCATGAGTAGTCGAGGCCAAATGACGCAGAACTGAGTGTGTTGCACAAAGTTGCGAAAATGAGGTCAAACAAACACTACCCAGCTAACGGATACTGCGACCAAACACAAGACCACATCATCTTGGTCTTCCCATCCGTGCCTAGTTTCGCTCAGAGCCCCGGCAGAGGTCTTAGCAACGCGAATATGAGCAACATTTAACAGTTTGACATGCCTGAGAAGCAGCTTGCTGATGCAACCGTGTGAGATCTTCAGTTTGCGAGATATGTCACAGGGACGCATATTGGCCTGTGCCATTTTAAGGATGCTCAGTCTCAGCTCCTCAGGCAGCGGCCGGCCGTTGGTGAAGACACGTCCGTACTGGTTGATGGCATGATCTGCTGAACAAAAAAAGGGGAAGAAGGGAGGTTTGGAGATTTTGGAAAAAGTGAAAAATGCATAATTCAACCAATTGTAGGCCTTCATTTCGTATGAAAGTGAATGATGAATAGATTTTT